AATGGCAGTGGTTTGTGCTGTTTCTAGGCTGAGCCTGGAGACATTTGGTGTGTGTCCTCACACTCTGTGTCCCATTTGCATTGGACAGAATCCAGGATGATGACTGATCATGAAGACGATGATGCTCCACAGAACACATGCCACTGTGTGAAAACTGCTGGAATGCAAGGATCAGAATTTTCGTGTGATCTGTTTCAGAACAGTCAGCTGACATCTCTTACGTGAAAGAGGTTATAAATATATTTTTAAATTTAGCAAGTAACTTATACAACAGTGACATGTAACAAGCACTGTTCCAAGTTTTAAGTTTTACATGTACTCTTAATCCCCTTACTAACCCTCAGTGGTAGTTACTATTATTGCCTCAGTTTTAAAGATCTGAAAACTGAGACTCAGAGAAAGCCAGAGTTGCATAGTTAGTAAACAGCTGAACTGGGATTCAAATCCAGAAAACTGGGCTCCCCGATCTATGCTCTTATCCACTATGATGTACTACATTTTAGCAATGTCTATATTCTCTAAGTTGTCATATTTGAGGTTACTTTGTTAACAGCAGCTTAGTGTGACCTTAAAAATATAGAAATTTGAACTTGGAAGTAGGGTTCTATAAAGTGACCTTAAATATGTGGTTAGACTAGAGTTGACTAAACAAATATCATTGGCTATAAAACTGGAGACCCCTGAAATGTCCTCACCAAAAATATATTATTAAACCATTTCCTGAAGTAACTTAAAAGATTGGCCATTTACCCAGACAGCAACCAAATGTTGACATGTATTGCTTGTTCCTTGATGATTTTTTGTAGAGGGTGGTAAAGAAAATTATGTGCTCACGTAGGAACTAGCAGGCATAAAGCAGAAGACTAAGAGAAGGTGTACAAATTTGGTTCTGTGCCCCAACAGCAGAAGGCAAGATTGCTACAGCTCTTGGTCTTCCCCGAATTCCAATCAGTTAGGAAAGCCCAGGGATCCAGCACCATGGAGGACTATATTCATGGGGTTGCCTCTTCTTACCCATCATTCCGATGGCCTAAAAGGAGACAGTACTTAAATGAGGGAGAGAGAAATGTATAGATGTAGAAACCAGGAAATAAAGTTGGCTTAAAAACTGCTCCAAAAAGAAATCTGAGTGTTGCTGTTGGCACAGGGCACTGGCTGGAAACAAAAGCCACAGAAGCCTATTGAATTTCTAAGATACTCACCTTTCAGAAGCAACGAAAAGCCTGTCCTGAAAGTGTCCTCAGACTCTCAAACCTACGCCTGTAGGAGACTACTAAAATCATGTAGTCTTTCCAAAGACCACTGTACAGATGTGGCCTTAAGCATAATGCACTAGGAAGAATTCCCAAAGGGCAAAGTTTGGAACCACAGAGGACATGGGAAATTACATCACTGCCAAGCCCAGAAGCTTCTCAATCCCTCTCTAGAGGAATAATGAAGCAGTGACTGCATAACATATCCCATTCCACCTTTCTTTTCCTAGGCGTGTTTATTATAGTTGTTCTGCTTGTACTTGACCATTGTAATTGAATGTGTTGGTGCAGGGTGTTGGGTTTGGTCAATAATTTTATTTTTCAGACTGCCACATGTAACCACATCTAACCGAATGCAGAAGTCAAGCATCACCCAAAGATCTGTGCTTTGAGCTGCGTGCAAAAATGGGATGGAACTTTGGGTTATATTCCTTGGTGAGGAATCCAAAGTGTAAGAGAATAATGCAGATGGGTTTTTGGTGGCCAAAGGGTGGACTGTGACACAGACTACAAATTGTTTACTGAAATTTATTATTTCTTTTTCCTTGCACATGTTTCTGTAGTCATATTACATCACTTATTTTTCCTTGCAGTTAGTTAGGTGTGGCCTTGTGGTTAGTTTTTACTATTGGTAAGGGAATGGAAGTAATGACTCCCATTTCTGGTCCTGGGCCTTAAGACATTGGTTATTTCTCCTTGAGACCCTCTGTCCTCTTTCTCCTTCCAGTCTGATGACACATAGACATGGTAGTGACCTAGCTTCTGTCATGCAGATGTGCAATAGTGCAGCAACATGATGAAACCACTTGCTGCTCAAGATCTACTCTCTATGCAACTTCCCATCGCTCTGTGTCCTGGAGGCTCTATGGGCTTCATTAATAGTCCGTTGTCTTCTGGCTTTTAGTGTGGAGGGAGTTAAGATATTTATCCTCTCTGCTCTCTCTCTGCTGAGGTGTCACAGGTTGGCTGCCTCCTTCTACCAATGAACACACCATCTATTGGGAGAGGCTCCACTTTATCTCTCTTTTGATTCTAGTAACTGTTTCCACATCTTGTTCCTTCATATCTTGGGTTTGAAAGACACCCTGGCCTTCTCTGCACCCCATCTCTCTCATGCATTGCCAGCACTAGAGTTTTGTACTGTGTTTTGTTAGTTTCCCTTAAACTTCTGACCATAGTGTAAAGAGTCCCTTTAAAGAACTTCCCTCAATAGCCCTGTTTGAGGGTGCCTTCTCTTCCCTGCAAGATCCTGACCAGTGATGTCTCTGAATGGCCCCCTAAAGGCAAGCTGTCCCATCAGATACTTTCCTGAGAACTAGAAAGTGAAAGAGTAATGATCATTCAATTTTATAGTTTAGGATTACCCTAATAGAGTGCTATATTTTTTCTAGGTGGTTGTTCTTTTAATAAAGTTTCAAATTTATTGGCATAAAGTGGTTCATCACTTCCTCTTTTTATCTCTCTTAGCATCTATACATCTTATTTTTGATTTCTGACATTGCATCATTGAGCCATTCTTTATCTTGATTAAGTCTCACCAGATGTGTATTAGCTTCTATTAATCTTTTAAAAGAATGAACTTTTGGCCTTTGTTGAATCTGTATGTTATAGTAGTTTTCTGTTCCATTAGCTGATTAAATACCATAACACATAACTCCAGAACTTAGCATCTAAGATAATCAGAAACTTCTATGACGATGCACAGTTTTTGTGAGCAGGGTAGAAATGGCAATGTGTTTATTTTACGTAGTGTGGGTAAAATTTCAATATTTCCAGAATCTCTTGCTTGGCTTTAGTGTATCTCCATATCAGTAAGTGTTTCCAAGGGGAAGAGAGAAGTAGTCCATCTCCATAATAATAGGTAATTAATTACTTGGGTGAGTGAGGGCATATCTGGACCAGAGAGGTTGGGTGGGGTCCCTCCTTCTGCAGCTGGGTTGGGAGAGACACGGGAGAGCAGAAGTGGACTGCTTGTAAGAAATAAACAGGTTTCTCCCACCTTATTTCTCCCTTTGACTGATTTCAATTTCAAAGGTATTTTGCCCAGGGATTCCTCCCCACCCCAGAGTTACAAAAGGGAGACAGTGAATCATCAAAAGGCAGCATTTATTGTTGTGGGTATTTCCCACAAAAAAATATTGTTGCAATATTTCCAGAATCTCCTGTCTGACCTTAGTTCATCTCCCTATCAATAATTATTTCCAAGGGGTGGAGAGAAGTAGTTCATCTCCATATCAATAGGTAATTACAATTGGGAGCACTGGCATATCTGGAAGGGTGAGGTTGAGTGGGGCCTCTTCTTCTGCAGCATTATTTGTAAGAAATAAGCATGTTTCTCACACTTTATTTCTCCCTTTGACTGATTTTGGTTTCAAAGGTACTTTATACCAGGATTTTCCTCCCAGAGTTAAAATTGTGAGGGATGTGGCTCAAAATAATCCCATAAAGATAGGGAGTGCTACAGGAAGGGGAACCCTAAAGCCTTGTGACTTTCCTAGGCCTACCCATCCTTCAAATATCTCTGGTGGTTTGATGATGCAGTCTTTCATAACTTGGCCTGGGGAGAAGGCAGGGCAGGCGGGTCCTCAGGAACCCACCAATGAGACAGGGACCGTGGGATTAGGCAGAGTAGGGTGAGGGCCTCCGGAGAAAAAGCAGAGCAAGATAATTACAGTCAGAACAATGTAGCAATGTGCAAAGAAGTCCCTATTGAAACTCTGTGATAAGCATTACGCAAAGTCAGTCACTAGTCACTAATTTTCTAGGGTAAAGATACCAGACTGGGAATATAGACATCTTCAGTGAGATCAGTTAAAACTCAAAAGGCCAGGAGCAACTTAGCCTGGAATGTTTGAGTGTTCTGCAGATAAAGAAAAGTGTGTCAGCATAACCTGTGACTTCACTGTAAAATTTACCTTAGCCTGCTAAAAGGCCCAGCTTATTTTAACCATACCTATGTACTATATTTCTTTCTCTGATCCTAACCAAGTAATCTGCAACCTAGGAAAAAGATAAATTTAGTAAGCAAGCCCAACTATAAACAGCCCAAGAAGTTAAGAAGTAAGATTCTTAACTTACTTCAGCAAACAGGCAAAAACCCAGCCCACCTTGGGGGCAGGGTAGGCAGTCTTAATTGACATGCTCCCAGAGGGAAACTGCTGTCTTGAGAAAGAATCTAGAGCTGAAAATCTCCTCTGTTACTCATCAAGAATGAGCATTCTGGGACCACTCAAGAAGTCTGCACCCCTAACCCTTTACCCTCATTTCTGAAAATCCTCAACTGCGCATAAAACCCCTAGACAATGAGCCAACTACGGACTCTCTTGTCCCCTCCTGGCGTGAGCTGGGAGCTCTTTATCTCTAAATAAAAGCCTGTACCTTGCTCTCCTACCTTGAGTGTTTGTGAAGCTCATTCTTCGGCTTCGTGAACAAGAACCCCGGCATCACCGGCATCTAAATCCCTTAGCTTTCCCGTCTCTGGCTCTCCAAGTTCACCCCACTAGTCTGGTAAACCTTATCCAACCTAATGGGTGTAATGCTTAGGGACAGAAAGAAAGAAACACTATTATATATTTTTTAACTGATTGTATACATGCTCTTAGTTATTATTTTTTCCTGTGTTATCCTGATGATTAGGCTTTTGATATTTAAATTCTGAGAACTGACAATAACATTCTGCTTTGTCATTCCTCCCCTGAAGCAATGGAAACTACAACTTTACTGTATAAATGAGAAAGACTCACAAGGGCCAGATAGTACAACTTTACTCTGCTACAAAACTTTTCCCCAAAACTTGATCTAACTGAGCAAAATTCTTTAGAAAATTAAGAGGCCTCACCAATTCCGCATTACCAGAGAAGGAAAAAAAAAAAACCCATAACTTTACAATAAAAGTCACAAAAGGCTAAGGGGGTGGGGTGCTTGAGTATACTGCTTCTCGTTAATGATTTGCTAAAGGGTGTCCTGGTTTTTGATCAAGAAAGGGACACTTTAATTCATTCTCATGAAACAAAGGTTGAAGTGGTCCTTAAGACAGGACTTCAAGCCAGAACTGTGTTATTTACTTCTGACTCCTTAGGGTCATGTCTATGGGACAATGCTTAACAACTATTTATTGAATTAAGCAAAAAAAGCAAGTTTAAAGCAGTTGGAGGTTAAGAACCCTGAGGTTCCATCTTATGGTTCAGGGCCAAGCTTTACCATACTTCAGAGATAGATATCGCCATAAATAAAGAAACACCTATTTCAGAGAAACAGATCAGCCCTACCATGCCCTAAAGTAGCTAATGAGGCCTTTCTCTGTAAGATTTTCCAGAACCTAGTTTCCTTCATGTCTGTACTGAGGAGAATGCAAATTTCAGGGGGCTTTGAGCAGTCTCATGGTACCAATTCTTGCTTTTATCTGTGGGCTGGGCATTTGACTGGCAGTTTGTGCCTTGCACTATTAGAGGACAAGGAGAATGGTAAATATTTGAACATTAGCTTTTCTCCTGGTCTGGACTGCAGGAGGTAATTTTGCCACAGTTACCAAGGTTGGTGTTTGTCATGTACTTACAGTTTCACTTATCACATAATTAGGGGTTCATTTTTACCAAACATGTAGACTTATTGGGATACCTGTAGTCAGAGCACACAGTACAGAGCTTTGTGAAATACAGTGCCTATGAGAAGTTGCCTGTGGTATGCAGAAGCCACAGAGCTGCCCTGCAGCACAAAACCATTATTGGCATACTCAGTGCTTATCCTGGGCTTCTCAGACAAAACATCCTGGATGCGAAGTACCTGTGGAGAGATTATCTGTTAGTATACTATATATCGGTGATGGTTTCCTTCCCAAATCCTCCAAGGCTAATATTCTTCTTAGTAATCAATAAGGTAAAATCCATATATCTTCAATCATTTTTTTTCCTTCTGGTTTTAATGATATCTATGTAGTCAAGTGCACTATTTATCCTGCATTGGTCAAATTCCTTAACAGGTGGTTTGCACAGTTTTGATATCTCAGGCATTTCCTCCAGGAGAAGGTGAGAACTGGTGGATGCTCTTATCTAATTCTTGAGTGAGCCATGTTCCTCTGTGGGTAGGGTCTTGCCTGTGACTGGGCTGATGGCATGGAGACAGTGGTGGTGGGGGGGTAACAGGATGAAATGATGCAGGGCCACTCAGTTAGGGAGCCAACCCAACATTGTGTAATCAGTAGGGTGTTAATTGTCACAGCTGGAGCCCCCTCACATCTACAAAGTGGCTGGGAAGCTTAAAGAGTGGGATTCAATCTGACATCACTGGCTAGTACTGCTATTGATCCCCAGGATTAACACATTTTCATTTGTTAATCAGTAAATACACAAGTGCTCAGGTTTCCCAATAACCTTGCTGAAGTTCATTCAAACAAGACACGATAAGAATTAAAGAAAACCTATTAAAAATTCATGAGTCACGAGTCAATATTGATGTCTCTTAGAGTTCAGCTGAGTTTTTTTTGTTTTCTTTTTTAATCTTAATGAAGATTGTACAACTTCATCTCAGGTTTATTATACGGAAATATTCAAGCTTAGAACTACGTAGAAAACATTAACTGTAACCAAAAGTAAAAGATATCAGTAATTGTAAAGAAGTCTTATCTAAAGTAAACAAATGATTAAACTTGAAAATAGAGACATGAAAAATATTTTAAACAATTTTCAAATCATCTTATGGGCTGTATTTTCATTCTCTTGAAGGGATGTTCTCGGGCATTTGTAGAAAACTTCTATGTATCACTGTTGGGGGTACATATATGAGGCAAGGCTAGCTGGTTAGCTTACGGTAACAATTCTAGGTTCAGGCTGGAATTTTGTTTCTTTTTATAGTTTTTTTTTTTTTTTAAGAAACTGTGACCAATATGCTAAAAAGAGAAACAAATATATACATATTTTTTAACTGTAAAATACCAATATTGGAAGCAGAAATAACTTTATGTTCACTGGGCCAATTGCCAGGGTAGGATTTGAACCTTAATTTCCCAATTTCCCAAGCTTAGACTCAAATGTTCTATTTTTCTTCAAACCTTACATTCTCATGAGGCCTATCCTGATCTCTGTATTAAGAGGTCCATTCCCCTATTCACAGCAATCCTAATCTCCTTTACTATACTTTTTACCCCATAGAACTTACCACCTTCAAACTTAGTATGTAATTACTTATTTCTTATGCTTATTGTTCATTGCCTGTGTCCCCTCCCTAAGAGCAGGAATCTTTGTATGTTTTGTTTTCTCATATATCCTAAGCATTAGAACAAAGTCTGGCACATTATAAGTGCTCAAAAAATTTTGTGAATGAAGTTCTCAGAGCATATGTGCCAAGAATTTATATCATATTTAAATTAACTAGAGATACTTTTATACACACAATGCTATAGGAAATGCAATGCTTTATGCTATTGTTTTCAATACCACATAAAATTCAGTGGCTGGTTCTTTGAGAAAATAAACAAAAGAGATAAATCCCTAGCCAGACTTATCAAGAAGAAAAGAGAGTGTATGCACATAAACAGAATCAGAAATGAGAAAGGAACATAACTATGGAATACAAAAAATTTTTAGCGAATACTATGAAAAATTTTATGCTAACACATTGGATAACCTAGAAGAAATGGTCAACTTTCTAGAAAAATACAGCCTTCCAAGACTGACCCACGAAGAAATGAAAATTTGAACAGACCAATTACCAGCAATGAAATTGAACTGGTAATCAAAAAACTACCTAAGAACAAAATCCCTGTCCCAGATGGCCTCACCACTGAATTTTATCAAACATTTAGAGAAGACTCAATACCATCCTCATTAAAGTTTTCCAAGAAGTAGAAGAGGAGGGAATACTTGCAAACTCATTCTATGAGACCAGCATCACTCTAATACCAAAACCAGACAAAGACACGACAAAAAAAAAATTACAGACCAACAACCCTGATGAACATAAATGCAAAAATACCCAACAAAATATTAGCAAACCAAATTCAGAAATACATGCAAAAGATCATCCATCATGATCAAGGGGGATTTATTACACAGATGCAGGGATGGTACAATATTTGAAAATCCATCAACAACATATACCACATAAACAAAAAGAAGAACAAAAATCACATGATCATCTCCATAGATGCTGAAAAAGCATTTGACAAAATTCAACATCCATTCATGATAAAAACTCAACAAATGAGTATAGAAGGCAAGTACCACAACTTAATAAAGGCCATATATGACAAACCACAACCAACATTATACTTAACAGCGAGAAGCTGAAAGCTTTTCCTTTAAGATTGGGAACAAGACAAGGATGCCCCTCTCCTCACTTTTATTCAACATAGTTCTGGAGGTCCTCACCATGGTGATCAGACAACACAAAAAAATAAAAGGCATCCAGACTGATAAGGAAGAAGTTAAACTGTCACTGTTTGCAGATGACATGATATTGTACATAAAAAATCCTGAAGAATCTGCTCCAAAACTACTAGAACTAATAACTGAATTCAGCAAAGTTGCAGGATACCAAATCAATACACAGAAATCTGTTGCATTCCTACATACTAATGATGAACTATCAGAAAGAGAAATCAGGAAAACAACTGCATTTATGATTTCATCAGAAAGAATAAAATACCTAGGAATAAACCTAACCAAGGATGTGAAAGACCTATATCTTGAAAACTACAAGACACTCATGAAAGAAATTAAAGAAGACACCAATAAATTGAAATACATCTCATGCTCATGGATAGAGAGATTTAATATTAGCACAATGGCCATCCTGCCTATAGCAATCTACAAATTCAATGCAATCCCTATCAAAATGCCAAGAGCATTCTTCAATGAACTATAACAAATTGTCCTAAAATTCATATGGAACCTCAAAAGACCCTGAATAGCCAAACAATCCTGAGAAGGAAGAACAAAGCTGGAGGTATTATATTCCCAATGTCAAGCTCTACTACAAAGCCACAGTAATCAAAATAATTTGGTACTGGCACAAGAACAGATCCATAAATCAGTGAAACATAATTGAGAGCCCAGATATAAACCCACACATATATAGCCAATTAATATACAATAAAGGAGCCATGGATATACAATGGGGAAATGACAATCTCATCAACAACTGGTGTTGGCAAAACTGGACAGCTACATGTAAGAGAATGAAACTGGATTATTGTCTAACTCCATACACAAAAGTAAACTTGAAATGGATCAAAGACCTGAATGTAAGTCATGAAACCATAAAACTCATGGGAAGAATAATCTCTTGAATTTAAACATAAGGAAATTTTTCCTGTACACATCTCCTCAGGCAAGGGAAACAAAGGTAAAAATGAACAAATAGGGCTACATTAACTTAAAAAGCTTCTGTACAGCAAAGGATACCATCATCAGAACAAAAGGGCATCCTATAGTATGGGAGAATATATTTGTAAACCACTTATCTGATAAGGGGTTAACATCCAAAATATATAAAGAGCTCACATGCCTCAAAACTCAAAAAACAAATAACCTAATTAAAAAATGGGTGGAGGATCTGAACAGACACTTCTCCCAAGAAGAAATTCAGATGGCCAACAGGCACATGAAAAGATGCTCCACAATGCTAATAATCAGGGAAATGCAAATTAAAACCATGATGAGATATCATCTCATACCAGTTAGGATGGCCAATATCCAGAAGACAATGAACAGCAAATGTTGGTGAGGATGTGGAGAAAGGGGAACCCTCCTACACTGCTTGTGGGAATGTAAATTAGTTCAACCATTGTGGAAAACAATATGTGGGTTCCTCAAAAAACTAAAAATAACAACACCATTTGACTCAGGAATTCCACTCCTAGGAATTTACCGAAGAAAACAAGATTCCTGACTGAAAAAGACATATGCACCTCTAAGTTTACTGCAACACTGTTTACAATAGCCAAGATATAGAAGCAACCTAAGTGTCCATCAATAGATGAATGGATAAAAAAGAGATAATACATATACCCAATGGTATATTATTCAGCCATAAAGAAAACACATCCTACCATTTGAAACAGTGTGGTAGGAGCTAGAGGTGGTTATGCTCAGTGAAATAAGCCAGGCAGAGAAAGACAAGTACCCAATGATTTCCCTCATTTGTGGAGTATAACAACAAAGCAAAACTGAAAGAACAAAACAGCAGTAGACTCACAGACTCCAAGCTAGCAGTTACCCGAGTGAAGGCATTGGGGAGGGTGGGTTGGGAGGTAGGGAAAAGGGGATTAAGGGGCATTATAATTAGCACACACAATATAGGTAGGTGACAGGGAATGTAGTACAGCATGGAGAAGACAAGTAAGGGTTCTATAGCATCTTACTACACTGATGGACAGTTATTTCAATGTAGTGTGGACAGGATTTGATAATATGGGTGAATGTTGAAACCTCAATGTTGCTCAGGTGAAACCTTCACAAGATTGTATATCAATGATACTTTAATTTTTAAAATTTCAATTGCATAAGTTATTGTTTTAGCAGAGATTTTAAATAAGACAAATACAATCCTTAAGATGAGACTTTCCTAAACACTATTATATATATTAGAACCTGCTGGCAAAAACTAATTTTGATTTGAGACTACAGTCATTTAAACCCTTTCATCTGAACTTCATGTCAGACAGTATGAAAGAAAATGGTTCGATATATGATTCTTCCTTTGTCTAACTTCAGGGCCTGCTCAGAGCCTACATTCTGATTGCATCTATGATATGGCAATCTCAGCCAATGTGAAAAATCAGGCTAATATTTTCCCATTATTCCCAATAGCAAGTATAGCCCTTGTCAGGACGTGCTATGTCTCGCACTGATGTTAAATTGGCACTAAAAGAATTAATGGGCTATGTATCCTTATCCTGTCAAATCTCTACTCTTTCCATATGTAGAATTTGTCAGTTCTGGAAAATCTCATATGACCTGCTAAATTCTACCAAGTCACCTCAGGAGTTTGTTCTTGCAGCTTCGTCTGTGAGCCCAGAAAAGTATAGGAACTTACTTCCGACCCTGGAGGATCCTCAGGGTTATAGATCAGCAGCTTCACGGCATTGGGATGGCATCCTGCCAAAATATCTCCAGTGTCGGGATCAACACTTAGGTTGTCTGGTAAGGTGCCCAACTGGATTACCTTTCAACAAAGAGGAAGCAGTGAAAACATTGTTGTGACTTTCTTCCCTACCTTCCCCCCTCCCATCAGCCTCTTCTGGATCCTGAAATCAGTATTTCTAAGGGGCTTGCTGCTCAGTTTTATAAGAACAAGCACAATCTCGCTAACATTCTCCTAAAATAGTCATGTTTCCCTCATTCAAGAAGCACATTTTGTATGTCAAGTGTGGGAGCTAATGTCAGAGGCCATGTTGTGTGGGAAAGCCAGGGTTCTCTTACCTTCAGTTGAGTTAAATCCCAGTTATCGTGTATCTTCATTATATGAATGTTCTTAGCCAGTACATCAGCTACATAGATATACCTTTGAAGCAAATAGCGTGTGTATTTAAGCAAGTAGTAATGAGATACGACATTAACTTATATTTTGGAGAAGAGGGATAAAAATTCACAGTAGTTCAATGTGACACTGCAATGCCTTTCTAAGTCACAGTAGAAGATAATGGAGTAATATTTTTAATATTCTTGAAGTGCTTTAAAAAAGCTTTGAAAATGAGATGTGGCTATAAAGTAATGAAATTGGTGTTTCTAGATGACAGTCTTGTTACTTAGGAATCATGATTTACTCTTTAAATTGAATGGAGGTAAGTGGATTCTTATAAAGCTGAAAGTGTCTATACTTCTAAAACTAGTGCTTGAAAAGGAATGTCAGATGACCATGAAGCTCCACAACTGCTTTTAAAAAGAGAAGACCACTTAGAGTTGTTTTCACAGGATCATCTCCATTTATTATTCAAATTTACATATCAACATACATCATACTTTTTTTTAAATACCTTCAATTTTTCAACACTTTAAAAGAGTGTTTCTCATAAAATTTCAACTGCACAAAATAGTGTGTTCTCTGAAAAGTCTGCCATAACATATCAATAACTCTGAAACTTATATAATCACAGTATGTAAACTAAGTTGGGCCTCCTTCTAAAATAAGCACTTCTGGTTAAATCAACTTAGTAGAAGTAGTTAAGATCTTCTAGCCTCATAAGGGATAGAAGTATTATGCATTTATTATCATTTTTAGTGTATTAGGTAGATTTCATAAAAATTTAGAAGCGAGACAGATATCCTTGAGTCTAAACCCCTTATTTTATTGTGGCAAGCCTGAAGCACAAGGGGGCAAATGGTTTGCTTGAGATCACACATTTAGTGTGAACCCTGGCCATGCCTGCTTCCTCTACACATACCCTGACTACTTAAGACTAAGGAAGTAACCACATCTTAAGGAAAGGAGTCCCCTAAATTGTGAAAACAAAGGATTGAAAAATCGTGAAAGCACTTACTTTTTGTCTTGTGAGACTGTGATCCCATTGGCTGAACTAAATCCTTCAGCCACCACTTTGACCTCTCCTGGACTGTAGAAAAGCACGTAGGTCCAGCGAAGATCCATCACCACCTCTAAGAATCCCAAGAAGAAGTTGGTAAAATAGTGGTCTCTGGTGGCATAGAACTGCTCTGGTCCTAGCACCACAATGTCATTCACACTAAATTGAAAAAGAATAAAAGAGAGAGATGGGGAATAAAAACCCAAAGAGTATTTAAATATCCTGATTGTGGTCAAAATCGCTAAATTTCAAGGACCACTTTGTTCATCAGTTTGAAAAAGTACACATGAACTAGTATGGATTAAAGAATTCCACAGAAAGGATATGATTTTTCATTGCCCTGATGGCTTCTCTTTTAGCCATTTGTTATTTTCTCACTCTTCTCTTCCACAGAAGTCAGCAAACCCGAAGAAATATACAAATAAACCTCAACTCCAAATCTGTTGACTTGTGAATGTTAATAATGGTTATCTGTGGTGGCCATATGCAGTTCATCTATAGTTTGGGTTCCCTTCCTTCTAGAATTAGGCTTCTCCATGCCCTTGATGTTATGTTCAGCTGTGTAACTTGTCTTGGCCAATGACATGAAAAGACGTGTGTGACTTCCAGATGGAAGACTCTAAGAACCAGTGGGTGATCGTTATGCTTTCCTCACCCTTCCACAGTGACCAGCAACTTTTCTGATTATAAGGAGCATAGTTCTCCCAGGGCCCTACATGAGAACAATATAAAACTGAGCCCCTGAATCATCTACAATGGCTATATAGCATGAATGAGAAAAAAAAATTTTGAGGAGTTGAGCCACTAAAATGTTAGCATTTTTCTTTGTTGTTTTTGTATCACAACCAGTCTATGCTGACCTTTATATTTACTCTGAGTAGGTGGTATTATGAATGCTGTTCTTTCTTACTTGTTATTTTACACCATTAAAAATTTTAAACAAAGCCAGTGTTACTCTTGTAACAGTAAAAAGCAATGAAGTCACTTCTATTTGGAAAAGAAAAACAGTGCCAATAACCTGAAAAGAAAATGTAGAAAAAGATTAAACATTCTTAGATTAAATTTAGGAAAGAAAAATTTGGGTGAATCAGGAAAATCTTTGAGGTTTTGATGTACAATCACCCTCCCAGGGTCACTAGACTACTCATCCTTTGGATCTTGGCTTAAGCAATTCTTTCTCCCAAAAGCATTGCCTGACACCGTAGGTTAAGTTGAATTTCCTCACTGTTAATTTCCACAGCACTTTGTTCTACCCATTGAAATGTCTGGTTAATGTGTGCATCAGGGCACCTCTCAAGGTCCTCCTTAGATCCTCAAAGCCTCACCTGCTCTGTTCCCGCTCGCAGTACTTCAAGCAGCTCTGCAGGCGTTCTGACACTGGGGCCCACAGTGCCGCCTGACAGCGCCCCACCCTGGGACTGCTATGGGCTTCCCTGTTGACATCAAAGGACTGGGTATGGCCAGACTTGACTTGCACTTGCACAACCAGGAGTGGGCAGGAGTTAACATCCCTTGAGGCAAACCTCTGACTAATGGGAGATAGGGCTGGTGGAGAAACTCTTCTCCTTTTCTTATCTTGACCAGATTTTTTGAAATGAGGTTTATGCTGTTTATTGGAGAATGATCCCAAGATTCAAGCTGTCAGCTGCACTTAGCCCTGGATGGTTTGACAAAGCGTTTGCTGTAGACTCTCCCGTGTGAGAGCTCTAGGGCTGCCGTAACAAGGTACCATGAACTGGGTGGCTTAAGACAACAGAAGTGTATTGACTGACAGTTCTTGAGGCTAGAAGTCTCACATCAATGTGTTGACAAAGCCTTGCTTCCTCTGAAGCGTCTATGGGAGGATTCTTCCTTGCCACTTCCAGTTTCTGGGAGTCCCAGGCACCCCTTGGTTTGTAGATACATGATTTCAATCTCACTCTCCATCTCCCCATGTGTCTGTCTGTCTTCTTTTAAGGACATCTGTCATGTTGGATTAAGGGCCCACTGTGCTCCAGTGTTACCTCATTTAACTAATTACATCTATAATGATCCCATTTCCAAATAAGATCATGTTCTGAGGTGTCAGCGTTAAATTTTCCACGTATCTTTTCGAAAGGACACAGATATATATATTTCCCTGCCTCAGGCTGGTCTCTTCTATGTCCAGGATGGTAGAACAACTGTGCATAGAGTTTTCTCTCTGGCTGTGCTGTCTGAGGAGCTCTCCCCACGGGGTGGGATGTTACTGCGTTTGATCCGCACAGGACCTGTGGGGTAAGCGAGGCCAGCGAGAGAATCCCCACTGTGCTGAGGAAGTGGAATCACAGGCTAAGCGATTTGCCCCTATCTCTCCTTCCCTCTGTGGCCGTCCCAGTGCCCACTGTGCCTAGGAACTCAGCACAGTAAGTCATGGTAAGAGGTCAAGAAATTCAACTTCTTTTACTTCTTCTGCCCTCTGCTTTTTGCCTCCAGTCTCAAGGGAGAAATTCATGCATGATGTTGGGAATAGGAGCCCAGGAGAGAAAATGAGCTTCCTGTTCTTTTCCTATTCTTTTATCCCATGGGAAGATTAACCTCTACTGTTTGAGAACCGGTCATTCAGTGTTGAGTACATTTTATAAAAGACAAATTCTTCACTGTTTGTTACACCTTGAAAGAGGCAACCTCCACTAAAAATCTTACTATTTTTCTCCACGTGGTAAGAAAGGCATTCATCACTGCGCGAGACCAGCTTTGGATGCAGTTGGATCTAGGCTTACACTCTGACTGGTTCTGCCACCTACAGATTATGTAATTTTGGTAAGTGTCTAAACCCCAAACTTCTCTAAGTCTCAGTTTACACATGGCTATTACTAAAGGCTGGAGTGAGAATTAAATGAGATGAATTTTGGCATAGTGCCTAGCACAGTCTAAGTTTTAACAAAAGTGGATTCTACTTCAAAGCTTTGCTGGAACAAAGCAATGTCCCATCTGGAGGCAGGTGGTAACAGCCAGTGAGGGTGGCTCTCAGAATACAACCCACTAGGACATTTCAAAAAGGGTGTAGGTATTTCACGTAAAGAGAACCTGATAGTGGGTATTGCAATGTTGTGGTATGGGGGGTGGAATTAGAGCAGGAAATCTGACTGAGCACCTTTGTAGGATTAAAATGCTTTCCAAAGGTTGGAGAATATAAACATATTCAGTACTGAATATGGCAGTTTCTAGTGAGGTGCTGGGTAGTGTCACTATACGAACCTTTATTCGGCTTTAGAAAAAGTGTTACAAAAGTTTAAGAAAGCCTGCTGAACAAAGAAAACAAAGCACACAGCAGAGGTGAAAAATAAGGAGAAGTACAAAATACCTTAATTCCATACCTCTTGAGAAGTTCATGTTTTATGGTTTTCAGATGTACCAGTGAATGCTGTTGTTCCTCAAATTTAAATATCTCCACAGTGGACTTCATGTGGGGATGATTCACAACGTAAAGATACACATTATGGTCTGAAGGGGGAAAAAGGCATAATTTCCAAGAAGTTTACCTCTATTGCAACTCTTTATAGACTTGGTGTAAAATTTAGTCTATTCTTCTCATACATCTTGCACAGGATCCCACTGTCCACCTGATAGGTAAGTCAATAAATGCCAGAATCCCCAATTTCTTGAGAAAATCAAGGCTCAGAAGGTGAATGAAACATCAGGGACTTCACCACCACTAAGTCCCAGAGGCAATCCCAGATGTTTCTGCCATAGCCTCTTCAGCCTCACCTGCCTACCTTCTCTAATAGGAAACTCCAGAACTACAATGTGCACAAACATCGAGGCAATTTCCCAGAATGGTCCTTCAACAAGAGAAGTGGGTGAAAGCAAGCAAAGCTTTGCTGATATGTCTTTTCTGTGAGAACTGCCTACATTGCAACACACATTTGAGAAATGTCAGGGCTATGTAAACATCTTAAAATGAGCAATATTTCCCAGCTAGAGAATCAACTTTCACAGCTAGTTAACTCCCTGAGGTTGCAATACCACCACTTAGTGAATCCAGCAGACACAGAACGTAAATAGGAATTCAAGAAAAAAGACTAGCCGATTCTAGGAAATATCATTGCCAAGAACTGTTCACCTGCTTTCATATTGGAATGTGAACTGCTGTGAACAGGATCGAGGTTGGTAATCTGGCTTCTCAGAGCACTGTTTTTGATTTGTCAGGATCTCTACATCGGATGAGCTCTGGAGTTTGAAAGAGCCCAGGCCCCCCTGTAGGACTTGCTCTGCATTCATCTCCTTTCCTCCTCTTAATGGGGTCTTCTTGCAATCATGCTGCGGGAAAACATGAGCTGAGATACAGGCACCTTTATGCAAATTGAGGAAAGTTTCTCTCACAGATGAATTTTTCTTTTGTTTTGACCTCCAGGGCCTGGGGCTTGGCAAGCTGTAACCTAGCTGGATCTTAGCCCCCATTACCACTAGGCCCTTCAGCCAGACACTCTGCCAAATGCAGGTGAACAAAACATGTGCTGTCATGGCTTTACCTCTTCATTAGGCCACTATTGGACCTCATCTTCCACATGAAAGATGCTTGGTGAGAATACTTTTGTTCTCTGTTTTCTCACTCCATTATAATTTATGTGTAATATTTTAGCCTTATGAATTAAATACATGATTAAGGGAGGTGACTAATAAATAAAATAAAGTGTTAATCATACTTCACTTCCAAAAGCCTGATTATATGCCTGAGCGTTAATCTGTAAACTGATCCTATTTCAATGAAGAAAAACCAAAACTAAAACCAACTACCCTGGGGAAAAAAAGCAAACCTACCTCTAACCCATGCAATAAAATAGCTCCAGGTTAATCTAATCACGTATCACACTTCCTCAGGTGGAGCATCATATGTTGGGCATCAGGCAAAACAGTGATGACTCTTGAATTATTTAAATAGACCCTGGAGCCCTAATTTCACCTGAGTAAAGGAAATAAGATTAACAGTATGACCACCTGGGCTCTACTTCTGGAACTGCTATTTACTACTGAAAAAAGTGATGTCACACTTCACTACATTTCTCTAAACTCCATTTTCCATCTTTAAAAGTGAGTATTAAATCTGTCCTGCCTGTTCTCATAGGATTCATTCATTTATTTATGTAACACATGTTCATACAGCACCTATTATGCAGGTGATACTGTTCTAGACTCTAGGAATCCAGCAATGAGCATGTCACACATAGTTTTATGGTGATTATATTCTAGAGAAAACATAGAGGAAATAATGAGTAAATAGAATAGTGGAGGGTGGTAAAGATGCCTTCTTCATAGAGTGGCACCTGCTTGAAGAGTGATAGTTAAGCTTGGCTCTAAAGATGAGATGGAGCTCACTGTACAGCAGTAGTGGGAGAAAGAAAGGAAGGTTGATGTCATTTAACATTATTTAAAAAATGAATTGCCATTTTGAGGAGCACTAAAAAAAGAAGTGTATGAGAAGAAATTTAACAAGGTTCATACCCTGAAACAATGGTGGAAAGCTTTCCTGAGAAGGTGACGTTTAAGGTGACGTTTAAGCTGAGGTTTGAATGATGACATGAGTAAGCCAGAAGTGGTGGAAAGATTTCAGGCAGAGGGCACTGCAGCAAAGGCCCTGAGGTATGTAGCATTTTATAGGAGTAAAGGAAATGCAGTGTAACTGATCCAGAAGTCAGGGAGAGAGTGGTGTCTGGTGAGGCTAGAGAAAGCACCAGAAGCCAGGAAGTGTAGGAGTAGTGCCAGGAACCCAGGCAGTGTAGGAGCGGTGCCCAGGAAGCCAGGCCATTTTGGAGATTGGGGGTATATCTTCCAAATAATGGAAACAACATGGAGAATTTTAAGAAGGGGGTGACATGATCAGATTTGCATTAAAAAAATAACTTTCAACTTATGTAAGTGGATTGAGATGGTATGAGAGGGAAGGTGCCATCAGGGGACCACTGCAGAATCCAGGCAAGAACCTGTGAATCCATTAATCTAGAATCCATGATGAGGGCTTGGAGTGGGAAGGTGACAGTGAGGATGGGGGGCAGGTAGACAGCTTGAAGAGATCATTTGAGGGGTAAATTGAACAGAATGTTGTAACTAGTTGGCTGAATGGGGCAGGAAGAGGGAAAGTGTCAAAGTCGGGCCCAGGGGTTTATTTTGAAGAACAAATATACATGAAAATGGTTTGTAAACTGTAAAGCAATACAAACTTGTTAGGTACAATGATCTTTTCAAGAAGGACTTGCTAAGCACATAAATTGCATATATAACATTTCAGGCAAATATTTAACCTACTTAATGAAATAGTATTCAAGCATTTAAAAATGTACCCATTTATTTAAAATGGACAAATCTGCTGGAGCAGACCAAAGGAATTCAACAAAGATCCGCTGGATTAGGGGATAGAAATAATTATTACCTATTCTTTTTTATTCATTAAAATTACTCCAGAAAACTTACACTTAACAATACATTATAATTCCAGAATATATTTGGATGAATTAAAACACCATTTCTTCAAAAATTCTGAAATAGAACACTTCCCATTTGGGCTTCCCTTCTTGAGTACATACCAGTGACGTTTTGCAGACCTGTTCTATGGACCCAAAAATATTTAAAAATTAAATTAGTCTGGAATTATGAAATATGAACAGGTAAAAAGTAATTTTGAAAATTGTTTTAAAGCATATAAAATGTTTTAATAATTATGTTCAGTTTTTTATAATAGCTTTTTGGAGATACAATTTACTTGACATTAAACTCATATTTTAAAAATGTACAATTTAGTGGTTTTTAAGATATTCACAGAGTTATGCAACCATAAGCATTATCTAGTTCCAGAACATTTTCATCATCCCAGAAAGAAACCCCATACCCATTAGCTGTCACTCCCTACTTTCTACTTCCCTAGCCCTGCCTACAACTAATCTACTTTTTGATTCTGTGAATTTGCCTATTCTGGACAGTTAATATAAATGAAATCATACAATATGTGGCTTTTAGTGATTTAATTATTTTACTTTATTGTTTGCAAGTTTCATTCATGTTGTAGCATGCATCAGTTCCTCATTTCTTTTTATGGCCAGATATTACTCTTTTGCACAAATATACAAAAAAAACCTCTTGTTTATGCATTCATCAGTTGGTGGGAATTTGGGTTATTTTCACATTTTGCATGTTAGGAGTAATGCTGCTATGAACATTTGTGTGTAATTTTTTGCATAGACCTATGCTTTCTGATCTCTTGAGTATATATACCAAAGAGTGGAGCTTCTGGGTCATATGGTAGCTATGTTTAACATTTCAATGAACTGCCGAGCTGCTTTCAAAAGTGATTGCACCATTTTACAATCCCACCAGCAAAGTGTGAAGGTTCCAAATTCTTCACATTCTCCCAACATTTTTATTGTCTGTAGTGTTTTTTTTAAAATTATAGTCATCCTAGTGGGTATGAGGTAGTATCTCATTATGGTTTCGAATTACATTTCCTGACTGAATAAGAGATTGAGTATCTTTTCATATGTCTATTGGCCATTCATACATCTTTTTGGAGAGATGTCTACTGAGATCTTTTGTCCATTTTATAATTGGGTTATTTGTCTTTTTATTGTTGAACTGTAAGAATTGTTTATATATTCTGGATATAAATCTCTTATCAAATATATGATTTACAAATGTATTCCTTCATTCTTTGGGTTATTTATTTACTTTCTTCATGGTGTCATTGGAAGGAGAAAGCTTTTAGTTTTGACAAAGTCTAATTTGTCTATTGCTTTATGTTACCTTTTTTTAATATCAGACAATTATTTTGAAAGGGACTTCAGTCTATATGTTAGATTTGTGAGAACAGTGTTCAAATTAGTTTTGATGGTCAAATGAGAAGAAAGAGAGAGGGAGGAAGGGGGAGGGACCACATTTTAGTGTCCTGTCTTTAATGAAATATGTAAAAATGTTTTGATACATACTAATTATCTTACAGATAGACATATTTATGTAAGATAGCATCTTCCCTCCTTTCATGTATGTATGGAGAGGTAAGGAACAAGTGACTTGTATTTCTCTCATTTCCACTTTATTCTTAAGCATTCAGGCTTTACCTTTGTCGGTGAAAGTACTGATTCCATGTGGATTAAATGATTCTTTGTCAAAACCATCACTGATGTTTAGTGCCTGGACCCTTGGGCTTTGCTCATTCAGATCCATCAGGAAGATCTGTCCTGGCTCATCCGGAGCAAAGTTTGGCATGCCGGGATATTTTAATCCCTTTAAAAAATAGAGAATAAGTATGCATTCATATATATCAAAACAACATTTTCATATGCAAGCTAAAATCTCAAAGCCTAACAAAAATGGTCAAAGCTCTACATTTCTTTTCTATTTCTGGGATTTTACACTCCGCCAGCTAGTGCCACCATCTGATCTAACACGAATTACCTCTGTCATCTAAGCCACTGGGAATCGGAGTGAGAATATGGGAAGAACCCATATTTTTTCTAGAGAAGGAAAGGGTTAAGCCCAAAGGTCTAATGCAGGAGACTAGACTGCGTTGTTACTTTGTGTGTGTCCCTTGGCCTGCCTGTGCCTCAGGTTCCTTAGTAATAAAATGAGAAAGTTAAAATGTATGATTACTAAGATTCTTACCAGTCCTGAGGTTTCACAATTAACCTTCCTCAAAGCAGAGAGGAGTGTATGGTTTCATCAGGTTGCTCCACCTCCACACATGTTATGTAGTGACAGATAGTAGAATCAGCCAAGAATTAGCATAGAGGAACCATTTTCATTGAGTTGACTATTTCTGATCTATTTTGTTCCTTTAGATGTGTCTGACTATTCAGACATGACTCCTTTTCGCTAAATATTGTTAAAAAAAAAAAGTTCATTCCAGTACCCTGGACAGTGGCTCTTTCTACTGGAAGGATCAGATGGTCATCAACCAGTAATAGGCACCTCGAATATACTGGCCCCCTGCTGCACCCCAGGTCAATGTGACAAACCTTGACAGTGTTTTTTTCTGCACCAGTTACTAAACTCCGCGTATTTCCTCCCCATATGCCTCCCCTCACTCTGATATATATCAATGTCAACAACCTTGTATGTTTTCTTGAACTCTCATGTCCGTTTATAGTCAATTTAAATTCCCTCCTTCCTACTCTACCTTATCTCTCCCTCCTTCCTCCCTTTTTTATAAACATACACACACACACACACACACACACACACACACACACACACACACACCACACACTTACTATAATAATACTACTTTTGGCCCTTCCACTGCACCACCCCCTGACCCCTAGGGAGTCATTCTTCACTCCGAACTTCTCTTCCTGCCTCTCTTCTTGCCTCTTCCTCTTTCTGTCCTCATTTATTCCTCTTTCCTTCTTACTCTGTACTTCTTTTTTTGCAGATCTTATTCATAAGATTTCAGATAGCTCTTCCATACTGATGGTTTTCAAATCTGCACATTTACCTGGACCCTCTCTCTGGAGTGCCAGCTAACATTCCCAACTTCTTCCTGAGGGCAGCTCAGCTCAAAACCCAAATCAACATTCTTTGCTCAGATCCTTCCTCCCATTAGTACCCACAGTTCTCAGGTAAGGGCAGCATTGTGCTTCCAAATGTCTGGCCATAAAATTCAGCCTTCAAGTCTGTCCATTCCCCCACAGTCAGTCTGTCACCAAGCCCAGTGGCTTAGATAATGGTAGCATTGGGGAAAAAAGTGTCAGTGACATCTGATCCTTCCCTTTTCACTTGAGAAAAATTAAGCCGAGAGAAGCAAAAAATAACTGAAGAGCATTAATTGGACAGACTCTTTCCACAACACCATAAAGAAAGTTTTTACAGTAGAGAATATTGGTCAGGAAGGCAGCTCAAGGCAGAACATGACAGCAAGTTTCTTGGTAGTTTAGGGGCATGTGAGGCACTGCCAGCTAGTAGACATACTGGATGCTCTGGAAATGTAAATGATTCCAGAGAGAAATAAGGGTGTGGTATTATGAACAACTTGACCTAGATGAAGCATCACAATGAAACTCTGCAAATAAATGGCTTCACACTCATCTGGTTTTCTATTTAAGGTGGTCAGGTAGGAATTTGTGGTAAGTGATGGCAAAAAATTCTTTTGACAGCATTTATCACCACTGAAAATGGTGAGAACTACCTGGAGGTACAGATATCTTATCTTACCCAGCAGACTATAGGTATGTGGGCATAGGCATTAAAATCTTCCACTGCCTTCATTCGCCAGCGCATGCATTCCATAAATATCCAAGCATCTGTGTATGCCAGGTAGTGTGTTATATGCTGAGGATGGCAATGAGCTCTCCAAAGTCCTGGCCTCAAGAAGCTTGATATCGAAGGAGGCAGGACCAAGCTGGCACATCAGTTATGGTGGGGTGTGTTAGAGCCTAAGCACAGGGCATGTTAACACCCCCAGAAACAGAGTGTTAGGGAAGACTTTCCTGAAGAATTCAAGTGCCACCATGGTGAGGGCTTACAGAAAACTAGGAGTTAGCTAGTATGTGTAAAAAAGGGAGTGATTTTTCAGGCAAAGAGAAGCATGCCAAGTCCAAAAGTAAGGCAGCAAATAGCTTGCTTGGCACCTTGAAATAGACTAAAAATTTCTATTACACATAATTACTCTCTGAATCAGCAGCTTCCAAACATGCCCTAGGATGGTAAGAAAGGGCAACAGGAGAAAGCAAGAACAAGGATTTGAATTTATTACACTGTAGAATGATAAAAAATAATCAGAAAGTGTTAACCTTAGTCTATGAATATGAGCTGTTTGTTGGTTTACAAAAAGAGCTCCATTACTTAAAGTTCCATGTTAACATTTCTGATGTAATTATTTGTGATAAAAGTCTCTACTTTCGGTAGAGCACTAATTCAGTACTTTGCATTCCAGTGAAAACAGAGAAGCGCACAGTAGGAACTACAAATATGATTTCCTAAAGGCAAAGAAGTCTCCAAGCTATAGATTAACCATTTTTAAAGGTCTACAGCATAACCTTGACCATCTCAATTGACAATAGAAAGCTGTCAACAAAGAAAGGGCCTTCCTAGACAGTTTTGTTTTATCTTTGGTTTTAGAGGAAAACTAAAGAAATAAAATCCCCTCTCACTCACCTACTCCCACACATATCACCACCAGCAGCAATTTAAAATCCAAAGGAGACCTGACGATACTGTGTATACTTAAGAATTTAGGAATTAAGGCCATTAAAAGTTATTATCTGTGCCCCTTTTTTTGGCCAAAAAGATAGATTTAAAAATTCATGTTATTTGGTAGTTTGATGGTCAAAATGAAATATTAGGACATGCAACACTAGTAATCAGAGTTTATATTGAAAATGTACTCAATTTACATTTTCAAAATCTTAGGTCACATCCCAAATTGCAACCGATTTAATCAATACATGATAAGTTTCAATATCTTCACAATATATACATTTTAATTTTTTGAAAGTCAGTGCTTCCATGGCTTCTAAATTATCCCAAATCTGTGAAGGCAGTATGGGGAATGAAATGCAGGTTCTTCTCCACTTTTCTTTGAAAGAGCTGGAAAGAATGGCAGGGACCCAAACTGTGAAATGCTCAGGGTTTTTCAATCAGTAACATGGTTAACACTCAATCCATGAACATTTTACTAAGCTCTAACCACAGGCAGGCATAGCAAGAAGAATGCTAGTTAGTGAGAAGATGACTACCAGAAGCTGAGGCTCAGCCAAAGAGGGCAATGATGGAGATGGAGATGGACAGCAACAGGATAAATCTGGAGACTAGTCTAGGAGTTGAATGGAAATCAATATACGTTTCTGGAGATCCTACTGAGTATGCAGCTGCCCACAGGGCACTGTCCACCATGGGCAGGCCAGCCTGGGCATTCCTGTGGCATCCTGATGAGCTCTCTGGAATCCTGTTTTGGCTTTTTTAGTTGACTGTTTTACTCGTGGGTGGGATCAGTGTGGGGTCCCTTGTAGCTCTAGTCAGCAACATTAATGTACTGTCTATACAGCTACTGACATGAGCATCTCAGGGGCAAGGAAAATACTCACTGTGGAGATAAAAGCCAGCCCATTAGGCAGGATGTCAATATCTTCAGAGCCATTTTCTGCAAAAGAATGGGAGGATCAGGAAGATGCATGCATGAAGACTTAAAAAGTAAATCTCACGGTCAAAACGTGGAACTTCTTTGGAAACTACATAAACCTTTTCAGTTATCTGTTTGGGAAACTGTATTAACTTTCAGGATTCCCACAGGCATGCAATTGTGCAGTACACCCTGAGGGAGACTCCTCAAATACTACACTCCTTTTTTAGAACTCCATTTTCAGGAGAAGAAGGCAAATAACTGTAAAATAAATTCATGTCCTACAGTTATTCTTTAAATAACAATGTCAAGGTATGTCCTGAGAGATCCAACTTTATTCCTCAGAGAAGACTTGATCAACAGACCAAGAGATAACACTTGGAAAGTCACTGTTGTGAAGATCTCTTAAAATCCTCCCTACCAAGCATTTCTCTCTTCCAACTTGTTGGCCTAAACAAATCTCTCATTCTCCAACCACTCGGTAATTATTGAGTAACTGTTCTCTGTTATAAAAGCAAGATGTCTTAAAATGGACTCTTGAATATAAATTAATTCAAAAGAATTTAGTTAGATCTCTTTCTCACTGAGAACTGGTCCTGAGCATTTTTCTATGGAAAGAGGCATATAATAAGGAAGTTATGACTAAAAACAGGATGAAAAAAGGGCTTGCATGGCTCCCAGTAAAGAGATAAACCCCTATATGACACGGTCCCAAGCAGGCAGAACTGACGGTGAAGGCAATGGTTATCTAGTGTGGCAAACTGTAGTTTACAAATACGACAGAACCAATGCATATTGCAACCACATATTCTTCTTAAAATGTGATGTTCCTACTCTTCCATCAAGAGGTAAGTCTTAAAACTGGTTGGACCTTTGGAGCTGCTTTGACAAATAGGATGCGGTAGAAGTAATGACACATGACATAAAAGGTCAGGTCACAACCATAGCTGCTGCTGGTGTTCACTCTCTCTCTCTCTCAAGGCACGTGCCCTGGGAGCCCTGAACCTACATGTAAAAAGTCTGGCTACATTGAAGCTACAAAGACGATAGAGACCACACAAGGTAGAGAGTGACGTTGGAAGAGGCTCAGATGACTTCAGTTTC